ATTACTCACCATAAATACTAAATAGTGTATGGAATGTTAATACTAAAAGTTCTCACCAGAGGAACCACCTGAAGAATTCTTATTCGACTATAATTATTATTATTGATGCTTCGCTCTCTTGGCTACCCAAGAAGTGGGGAGAAATGGCACCCAAACTGCCAAATGCCAAGCCCCACACCCAAAGAAGGCGAAGCTTAATCTCGGCCTCTCAGACGAGAGGCCGAATTGTCAGCCAGCAACCGACCCACTGCTATAAATTTGAAATAGACCCACCGAATTCCAACCTTTTTGGCATAGAACTAACATTTGAATCCAAGGCTGACAACTCATGCACATAGACATCAGCAACTCAAAAAAAAAAAAAAATGAAAGGGTTGCTTACCTAAATACCGTCAATCCGTTGTGATAACAGGCAGTGCTGTGGCTGGCTTTTCACTACGGCTTTATTAATTTAAATACTCACCGTGGCCGATCGATCCCGTTCAGGCAAGCCGGATGTTAAGCCCATTATAGGTAATGTAGGCAGCTTTCTTCGCATGCAACTGAAGGGTCAATTTGCAATTAAGCCCTGCAATATCACACCAGTGATGCACCTCCACTTGGCACACGAATCGTCAGTGTTTCACGAGCCATTGCAACCACACCGCACTCCGGTCCGTGTGGTCGCCCCTTCCTTGGTATTAGTGACACTCGCGTGGCTGTTCGCATTGCTGAGGGGCCTAAAAACGACAGGTCACAGGCCAAACCACTGCGATCAGCATGGGGCTCAGAGGAAGGTGGAGAGCGGACCTCCAAACAATAGGAGTAAATATCGGGCCACTCGCGTTGCTGACGGGCTGAAAGGCCAACAAATCCTAGACTAATGGGCCGTGATCGGCGTGGGGGCCGGAGGAAGCGGGCAACCAAGCCTCAAGGTAGGGCTAAACGGAGTGTGCCAAGAAGCCTCTACATACATGGACTTAGACCTATCTAGGTAATAAAGATGCACCACGAATCAGAATACGACAGGAGGTCCTGACTTGTGTCATGTCAGGGCCATCTTGGTCGATTATAAAGAGGCGGAACGAAACCCGCCGCAGCTGCGGAGGAAGTGTCGTCCTCAAGCATTATAGCCTGCGCATCATTCCAACGCGACATGATGGATTTTTGGAGACGAGAAGGCGGTGGTGAATGTGAGCTGGTGGGGGAGGAGATGGCGACCTTGGTGGGCAATGGGGTTTGTATACACTTACTACGATGAAAACGACGATTTATCCTAACTATAAGAGCAGGTTCTTGTGGGTTTCGCCGGTCAAGCCGCCTTATCCTTGGGCCTGTCTGCCTGGGTGTTCTTCCTCACAAAGCACGGCAACATGGATATCACTTACCCAGAGGGCTCTGTCAAGCGGGAGATCGAGCGCAAGCGCTTGGACTTTGTTTCCAATATTTTAATGATCGGGTCGGACATCCAATCGACGCTAGGAATATCATATATGATCACCGTCTTCTCCCAGGCCGAAATCATGGATACATACCACTTACATCTCGTCTTCGACATTGTCAGCTTCGTTGGAGTGTCGAACACCGCCGCCCTCGTCTGTTGGAGATTCTGCCGCGCAAAAATCGACGCTTCTGATAATACGGGTACCCCCAAACGTATATCCTATTTCCACAGTCGCTACCGAGCGACTTTTATATTTACCGTCTTATACCTGACTCACATGGTTCTCCTCTGTGTCCGCCTCGGTGAATGGGCTCCAGATGTGGAGCCTGGTCGTTGCTACTTCTCGCATTTGGTGACCAGTCCATCAGCCTCACATCCACGCGCGGATCAGATTTACGTGACGGTTACTGGCACTTGGCTTATAATGGTTCTTCTTGCTAGCATATTCACTGGCGTTAAGGGAAGACGTTTTATTCTGATCCTCTCTTCACTCCACTTCCCCCTGCACCTCTACATGGCCATTGCGCTGCGGCAGGCGAACCAGGGCAAGTTTGCGGGTGAGACGAAGCACGAGAATGAGTGGGACTTTGGCCAGACGACGGCGGTTGTCCTTCTGGGTATTGCCGTCGTAGAACTGATAACCAAGGGGAGAGAGTACTATCACTTCGAGAAGCATGTGACAAAATATGGCAAGCCCCCCGATACAAGTGATCCATTGCCCCAGGAAGATGAGGAGTCCAATAGATATCCTCTTGCTACATTGTCCGGAGACGAACAGGCGCCTGAAGAGAAGCGCCTGTTAGCGAAGAGACACACTGCAATTTAGAAATTCAAGATAAGCATTGGATTGGGACACGTTCAAGATAACAGACTAGTGAAATATAATGAGAATTCGTTAAGGGTAATGAAGAATTTTCAATCCAAGCCTTTCTTTGAGGGTCAGAGCCTTGTCATCTGTCATCTAGAAAGGGGAATATTCGCTAGTGACCTGCCTAAGCAGCGGGAGTCTAGACAGTGCATAGAGTATGCGGTAGCGATCAAAGGTCAATTGTAACCGCGATTATAAGGGGAATGGGACGTATACGATATTAATGAATCATTATATTGAGATGGGTAATATACTATTTCCTCCGGAGAGATAAATGGGGGCAGACAGAACAACTGTAAACAAAAATAAAATATGTTATCTGTCCTTTAAACAAAATTAGTGCACAATGACGAAGGACATATCATTGCCTTAACCCATCCTGATCCTGTAGTAGTTCTTCGAACTATATCTTATCTATCTACCCATATATAACTAAACCGGTAAGCTGCCTATTTGTAATGAAGGAGAAACTAACAAAAAGGAAATTTTGACTGATTCACTGGTTGGTCCATTGCTTCTACTAGGGCAACTTGGAATTGACCCACTGTATGGCAATCTACATTCTCACATTTGAAAGTTCCGTAAGCACCACTGATAGCACCTAGGCAACCTTTTATTCAGCCTACACTGATCTGGTCGTTCTTATCGGTCAATTTTTCAGTCAGGCGCCAACGAGTGATGAAGTCGGTAAACGAAATGACTTTTCCAACCCAGCTCTCATCAAAAAGCTGTATCTCCATTTTGGGCTGCTATTGAGTCTAAGGAGTGAAGTGTTTAGGAATAGAGAGGTTGAGAGATAAGTGGAGAAAGGAGGGGAGAGAAACGTAAGGTGACTCGTTTGAACTCATTTTTATTGCATAAAGAACATATGTTTTGTTTTGTGTTGTTTCAGGCTCACCAAGGTCCAGTGACAGACTAGTACCAGTAACAAAATACACTAAACAACCTCAATCCACGATTCACTTTTGTAGAGCTCGTGAATATTATTAACTATAGATGTCTAACAAGAAGAGGTGAAAGTGATCGTACTAGATTATTTCCAAAATTCCGAATTAAGGGAATACTAGCAGACAGAATGACAGCACGCGACAGAAGGCTGGAATCCTACTGCCTAGAATGGCCCTTCGTTAGGTCTAGTTTAACCACCCTCACCCTTATTTTTTCTTTCTTTCTTTCTTCCTTCTGTGCGTACATAAGAATGAGCTTTCTTAATAGTTTAATGCTATCATGGTCATTTGCCCTTTGAAGGCCTGTACAAATCGATCCATAGACGCAAAAGCCCCCGATATCATTGGTATGAGCCCTCAAGGGAAGCTTCTCTTCGTATACGAATTGAGAGCCCCTTGGGTTGGTGCGCACGATATCTCACGGCTGGACATGAAGGAGCGTAAACTTCGACATATCCTTGGTAGGTGTCAATACTGAGCCAAAGCGGTTGACCAAAGATGCTAATACAGGATTTATCAGGGCAATTGGCTTATTATCTACACAGATCTCAAAGGAGGTCCGGCTTTGTCACGACATATATCTACACCATCTTCGTTAGACAAACAGTAACCAATGGTCAGTGGATGCTCGAATACAGCCCGCCAATTTCCTATCTGGATACTTCTGGGATTCGGCGCGGCGATATCACGGCCAGAGAGTCGTTTTAGTGCCTGGCGAATTCCTCATTGACTCCGCGCTACCATGTCCAGAATACTACGCCCTTGAATATGTGGGTTAAAAAAAGATAGCCCTAGACAAGCCAAGTGCCAAAAGTACTGAAAGCAGCTCTTCTACGGACGAAACAGAGTAGGTCCCTGGGAATGGCCATCTGCTTCGTTATTGTCGTTGTCGATAGCGGCACACTGGGCCGTATGCTTCGTTGTGAGAATTGTAGACCAGGCCGCGCCGCTGCTGTCGCTGAAGGTGAATATTTTGAGTATGCTGGTGTTAGTGGCTTGCAGAACAGAGAATATGTAATATGCAGTTCCAATATGTGCATTTATAGCATGTTTCGTAGCTACTTTACTCAACTTACATTCAATCTTGCTTCTAAGCCCCATCAATCCACATGTAGTGTTTGAATGCTGTCGTCTTTATATTGGAGATGTCTGTAAATGTTTGCAGACATCTGAAGGTGCCTTAGGCATATCAATCACCTGATCGTAATCTATTCCTTTGTCCTATACTACATATATAGGACCTCATGTCTCCCAGTTCTAGCTTTAGTTTCTAGTTTCTTTTAGATTCATCAAGAATTGAAGATATTTTGTTTTGACACCTTCCTTCAACCGTTCACATATATGCACTATCAATGCTCTTTCTAATTTTTAACTATTTCATACGCAATGTCGAGAATTTGAGGAGGTTTAACATAGGGTTCTTGATTGGTAGTCCAAGACATATATCTGGTCACTGGTGAGTAAAAAATCAAAGAAACGAAAATTCCCACTTGCGGGTATTTAAATATTGAAATTAGATTTTCTGAATAATAAAGCGTTTAAAAGCACGATTTTGACCAAATAGTCAAAAGAAATAAGAAAGTAACAGAGTATAAGAGGTTACTCAGCAAACGATACTGAGAAAGTCTAGCGTAGCTTAAGTTTGGACAATAAATCCAGTTTCGTGTAGAAGTAGTATAACAGCCACGCGCTGCCGTATTTTCAGTATCAGTCTACATGCTGTCCTTTATATACTCATATATTCTACCTGCAATTATAAATGGGCAAGGTGGCCGAGTGGTCTAAGGCGCATGGTTCAGGTTCCAATCTGATCAGGAAAAGTATTACAACTTTCCATGTCATTAATTTGGCGTGGGTTCGAATCCCACCCTTGTCACTATAATTATTTTTGCTTTTCTCCCCCACCTCTATCTAGGTGGAATCAGTGGGTGAGGAGGGGGGTGTATGCCTGTATATATAGACTGAGTTGCAAGTAAGGTGTCATAAACCTTCCGTAGATGGTGCTTTTTTTTGTTGACTTAGCCCTCTCTACATTCATAGTCCGCTGGTCTACTACGAATTTAGGCTATAGTGTCAGCTAGCTTAAGCGATCTTTAAAAGTCACACTGCATTCATTACCAATCGCATATTGCATGCACAATTGTAATTCAAGACTGAAGATATTATATTTCTAACTCCAATTCAATCTAATCATTTCGCTCTTTTCCATTAGCTGCTAGCAACATAAAGAGTTTAGGTCTGACATCGGGCAGTTGGTACGATATATGCTCTCGGGCTCACTGGTTAATTTTTCGATCATACCAACACCAACATCCTGCCAACATGCTTCTCTGTACTAGATAGAGAGTTGGACAAGATTTGACAATAAAAAAACAATAAAAATTGTCGTGACAAGGGTGGGATTCGAACCCACGCCAAATTAATGACACGGAGTGAGATGATCAGATTGGAACCTGACCCGTGCGCCTTAGACCGCTCGGCCACCTTGCCTATTATAGGCGTTTTCATGGCTAAATTATCCATCAGGAAAGGCTTGGTTATTTTGGACGCTCCAATCATACCTTTTAGAAATTGCAGGGAAATCAAGTGGTGCGAGAGGAATTTGATGAGATCAGCAAATAATGAAAGCATTCAATTAAAAACCATTAAATTCTAAGGAACAAAAGACAGTGCGTCACCGTACGCGGTCGAAGAATAGGAGCATCCCCATACCACTTGCACATTCTCGTCTATCTCTCCAATATTCCCTCCTTAGGCTAGTTCGTCTGGCATCCTCCTGGTTTTATTATCTTGCTCCATAGCATCTTCATCCATATTTTTCGAGGCTAGGTTCTCCATCAAAATCGGCTCTCTAGGCAATCCGCGCCGGAGTGTTGCCCTCCTTGTCTGCTCAATTTCCCACAGCACAAGCTCTCTTTCGGAAAGACTGTCATCAGTAAAACCCCCTGAACGATTTCGAGAGTTTTCCGACAGGAGATTTCAAGTAATCATTTTGACTTATATAGATATATCTCCTTGGTTGGTTTTTAGCTGCAATCTGCTCTAGAGTTGCACCGGAGAACCAATCAAACACAGTGTTCAGCCGCATTGGTTCTTTCCACCCATCCTCTGGCTGCTGGACATAGCGAGAAAACCGCTCCCCATTATTCTGTATACCCTTGATCTCCACTGCGATCCTACTTGCAGGATCATCATAATTGGCTTGCGTAGCATAGATATGTGGATGACGAGTGCCGGGAGGGCTTATTACCACCTTCAAAATAAAACCTTCACCCAGATCAACATCTTGGTACGAGAACCTAACAGTCAGCATGTTTTTTAAAGCCCAAATCTGGTAATGGTTTCCAAGCTTCTTGTAAACATGACCCTTGAAGAATTTGCCCCGTAGTAGAACATTGCGTTCGTCGTCTTCCCGTTCAGCCAGCTTGTATGACGGCTCTGGAGCGTTAGAGTGAAAATCTGAATTAGAGAGAGATAGCTCCTCAGAATACTGGCCGCAGTCCTTGCAATCCTGGAAAAGTTCGTCGAGGTCCTCTGAGCTAAACGCATCCCCTTGATACGTCGTATCGTTATGTCGCTCTGAGCTGGATGTATCCCCTTGATGTATCGTGCCTTTATCCTGCTCTGATACGCTTAATGGACTAGTGGCTGGCACTTTTGGCATATTAGAACCCTCGGCATATGAAACCACAGGATTCGCCCCGGTCAACTGCGTAAGTAGTTCCCTCGCTCGTTGGATGGTATCCTCGCTAAATACACGCTTCCCAGCACTTTTCGAAATGTCTTGCTTCAGATACTGTTGCTTTCTTTTCCCCCATTTGCGCCGTGGCAGTGTGCATAAGAGAAGGAATGCACCCTTTGCGAGAGATCCTCCCAGGCGCTCGAACTGCCTAATCCCCTCGTTTGTTGTGATTCCTCGAAGGGCAAACCATTCACGCATACTTGGTGAGATGGAATCGATTGTCATCGGTCTCAATAGGTTCGTTTTTTCGGACCAGTACCGTAAAATAATTTCTTTTCCCACTAGTCTAGTAGCAATAGTAAATCCATGAATATTCGCCGTTTTGGTGATAGTGGCTGCGAAGCGGAAAACTTCTGCATGTTCTTTAGCTTCTTCCCAATTATCACAGCGAGAAGTAAGGGCAAGAGATGATGTCAAGCGAATATAGATTCTCTTTATCTCAGATTTCTTCTTGTCTACTTCTAAGAAGGATCTAAAAGAGCAACCTCGAAGATGAAGTGTGGTTTGATACCCAGCCGCCTCTGCTGGGAGGGCCATCGCTTCCGCCATCCGACCAGCCAGTAAGATTACGTTTAGACTGGATGCCTCGATAAAAGACTTGTGAAACATCCTGAGTCCTTCATCCCGAGAGGAAGAGGCGAATCTATTTGAATTGGACCCAGATTGGTAGCATTGGCGGAGATCATGACTCCAGATAAGACTGTTTAATGCAGTGAAATTTGCCTGGGTAAGAGCTGATGGGATTGCAGTTATGTTTTCGTCAAGATTTCCTCGGTTCTCCGTACGACTGACCGGACATGGATCTAAGATAACCCCAATCAGCGCAGCAAAAGAGCCGAAAGGCCGAACTAATGGGCGATCCGGTAAGTCTTCAACTAGCTGTAGAAGATTATTAAAGCTTGTTGCACACGGGCCTTGAGAATGTTGCCGCCAAGTAAAATTATCGCAATTCTTAGTCTTCTGAATTGCCTGTTCCAAGGCCTTCCAATAATGTGACTGACGCCGGTATCCTTGGTATGCTGCTCTACGGTTGTTGGAAATGCTCCTGGAGACATCGCGCTGCTTTTTCCTTTCAATTGGCCATCTTCGGATCTCCTCATCTTCAGAATCTAAGCATTTATTGATATAGCTTGTCCGAGTGGGTATGTCTAGGGATACACCCTGTAGGAATGGTGGGAGCACATTCAATCCGGTGGTTGCGTAGCACGCTTTCCCTAAGTGGAATTCGAGGTCTGAAGGTCGAAGAGATGGAAATGCAAAACACATCACTGCTTCGAGAACGTTATTGAGAAGCAAGCTGGGTTGTTTGGCATTTTGATCAGCGACCAGTTCTGAAGGCAAACTCCAGAGCCTGATATAGTTCATAGCCCTAAATTTACCACCTTCCGAAACTATGTAGTAATGGAGGGTAGTACGCTTCTTCTTCTCGGCGGCAGTCAAGTGCTGATGGATTCTGATGCTAGCGTCTGAAGCCTGACCAACATATGGTCTCCAATAAATGGGACTGCGGTCGTCGGTGACATAGTCTAAGTATCCGCTTTCTCGAGGCCAGTTCTCGAATTGATCCTGAATAGCTCTGATTCTGTCTAGTCTGTTGCATACCTAGATTAGCCACTATAGTAGAAACCTAGTCCACTTAAACGCGATAATGGGATGGGATTGAATGGATTTACTTTTCTGTAGTCACCTCTTTGCCCTGTAGTGCTTTAATCTCAGTAGGATTACTCTGCCATATCGCTTGTACTACTGCATCTTTGCCGCCGTGCATCTCAATCATTCCGTAGTAAGGCAGTACTTTGCAATGGTTCCATTCTTCATCCCGTAGACTTCTCACCAAAGACACTATAAGGCCAAACAAATCACCAGGATATGTAACATGATGTGTTAACGATAACCAAGGCTTATAAGTCTAATAGTTAGCTGAGAAACATAATATTGGCCGGGGTTAACTTGCGATATGCTCAACATAACCGATTGCAGAGGTTGGAACTAGACTGAGTCTGTTTAAAGGGGAAACTGATATATCATAGGGCACTGTTTCATCTGGCGCTTTTGGTAGTATTTGTTCTGTTGGCAGGATCTAGGATTTTTTCAGAAATTTCATCTAAACGCGGTACAAGCTGAAGCTCAAACGGACCTCAGGACGTGGGATAGATAAGTTTCTGGGTGCATTATGTGGAACTGAAATAAATGTGACATTAGAAAACTCAGGTGAATTATAAGGGCATTTATCGATAGTGTGTGAAAGCGAATAGCATCTTTGACATTGGCCGTCATAGGAGCAGTCGTTCCTCTCATGGTTAGGTAGATGGCAATTTCGGCAAATTTCAGGTTGAAAAACCATTTCTCTAGGTGGTAAATAGATCTGGGTCCTCTGGTCTAGCCTGTAATATTGCAGAGGCCTCAAGAAAGAGATTTGAAGAAAGTGATGCGGGATAATGGAGGCGTAGAGAGAAAAAAGAGTAAAAACAATACTTATATTAGAAGGCTCTCAGGATGAAACAAATGGCTAAGAGAAGCCAATGCTTCCCTGAAGCACGTGTTGTTTAATGTGAATAATTTTCTTTGTTCCTTAGCAAAAAACAAGCCATCAGCTTAAGCGTTTTAAACTCATTATATTATATAGCCTTCTCCAGAGCTCACTCCTTTGTTTATGATATGTATTGCCTACATTCCATTTAGAAACCATATCCTATTAAGGCAAACAAAGCAATCTACCTATATGTAATGTATTATTAAAAGAGGCTTTACGAACCCTTACAACTGAATAGTCTCAATTTACTAGTACAAAGGAGTGTTTGTCAAGGTAAACGAAGGTCCCTTCCTCTCCAGATTGTCCCTTACCTGCTCTTTATCTACAGGCTAAAGAATCAAAAGCTCAGCCAAAATGCAACAAACATCGATGCCTACTCATAGTATTTTCCTTATTATTATTGCCTACTCATATAGCTTCATAATAATTCTAACAAACTATGAACTTCGCCGAAAATATTAATCGAGGACCTTGGAACTTTATATAAATCACAGGTAGAATCAGTTGTGCTTATTATGCTGACGTATAGATCAGATACTTGACATGAGAAAGCCCCCGGAGCTTCTCTTCTAGGTATACGCTAGGCTAAAAGAAAATAGGGCCCCCTGAGTCACTACTGAGGTATCTTCAACTTGCCTGTCCGGGATTGCCTTAAACCCTTTTTGCCTGGAATCCTGGAATCCTGGAATACGAGAAGCTTAGTTTATATTATCGGAACCCGCGGCGTCCATCTCGTATTCAAATATAGAGCCACAGATCATTAATCAATGTATACTCTTGGCTTTTACAAATCATTATTAATGTAGGATATGGTGAACTATGAAAAAAGCAGAAGGATTTGTCATCTCTCACGGTTAATTCGTCTATCTGCTACAGTTAGGAGCCCATGAGCCCTGACATATAAGACAGTCAACAACCAGTCCCTCATCTATCAGTGCACACACCAACCTCATCATCTTACACCACATTTAAAGAACACTGTTCTAAACAGCCTCATCCACCATGCGCATCGCTGTAGCCGGAGCTGGCGCGCTAGCCAGATACATCAGCGACGAATTCCCTAAGCACGGCCACTCGGTAGTCATCCTAACACGCAGCGAGAAAGAATACTTCCGCAACCGACCACATATCACCCAGGTGATTACCGACTACTCCGTTCCATCCATAGTGACAGCGCTTGGGGACTGCGAGATGCTCATATCAGTGATATTATCC